GATTGTCATTCACTGGAGGATTGTAAACTATAGTCTTAGATAATGCCAGTATTTTAAATTCTGTAAAATCCAGTCATCGAATATAAGCGTATGGGGAATCCTAGGTTTTCAATCAATGCAACATCTATGCAACAACTATTGCAAGAAGAAATGACTCAAATATTGAGTTTGATTTTAATATTTTACAAATAACTTTACTTAATAACTTTCAAATAAATTTTCTCAAGACGTATAGCTTGAAAATATCACGTGTTAGACAAAATATGAATCTCAAAGAAGATTGGAAAAGGTTAATTTAATTAAAATTAGGTTTAGCTTTAATGAAAATTCCTAATTTAGAACTTCATGAAGAAAATTCTAAATTACAGTTTACACCTTGAAACTAAGTAATTACACACATATAAGCAATTTGTTTACGCTAGAAATATAATATATTTGTGCTATGCACTTCAAGCTTCGATTTCGAAAGGAACTCAACCTTATGTTTGAACTTATAGGCTATAATTACAGTCAGTATCAAGCTGATAAGACTTAAACTTAGTCTTATCAGCTTGATACAGAAAAGGACTATACTGTATTTATATTTTATTTATAACATGTTCTTCAAAGTCAAACTTTATCTGTCTTCTTAAAAATGAAAACAGGATTCCAGAATTTTAAAATAAAACAATAAATATTTTTCAAAATCTGTGTCTATATTTACTTTCATCAAATATAACTATAGATAAATTTATACAGTAAAACAATGACTTATAATATGTTATATAATGTTTTAAGACTTTGTTGATAAAATAACAAATGTATTTAATCGAAGTAAATCAAACAAATTTAAGTGAAGGCAAACAAGTGTTAATGTAACATTATGTTTCAACTTCACGTAGATGAAATAATTTAATGTTAAAAAAATAATAGCATGTAGTAAAATATATTTAAAAAATATAAAAACTATTGGTCAAAATTTTAATATTTACCATCAGGTTTCTAGCTTTATACATAAAATTTCGAATAGTCATTTGATGTATAATTTTATTTGTTTTTCACCGTAATTAACAATTTACTTAGCTAATACGGAAAACAAAAATAAAAAACTAAAAAATAAATTGTTATTATAGAAATTTATGAATCTATAATAATTATTTTTGTTTTAATTGATGTATAAACTGGCTAAATATATATGATCCACTGATATAATACAGATTAACAATATGAAATGGATTTAATGATTCAGAGCTGGAAAGTAAATATGAAAACATGTAATACCAAAAATTATTTTTTTTATTAATATGAAAATTAGTAAATTATTAATAAGGCTGTGTCGAAGGTCATCATACCATAAGGGAATAGTTCAAAAGACTAAGAAAGCGAATACTGAGTGACATCCACTTTTGAATCGACTGACATCATCTTAATTAAGTTAATCACTTTTTATGTTAAAAATTATAGCAAAATACGTCATTTTAATTCATGAAGTAATAATTTGAAAAGATTGCAGAAGAAAATTCTTGTAACTTTCTTACAAAAGACTAAAAGAAGATATGCTACAATATGTAAAAAAAGGAAATATATATATATATATATATATACATATATTAACTTTATGCTTCGTATTTATTTTAATCTATATAATTTTTATTGAATGACTTTATAATTTAGTTGAAAGTTTAGCTGATTAAACGATTAAATGCACATAAAAATTAAAATAAGAAAATCCAAGTAAAATACCAAGAAAACATTTTACATAACTTGTTTATTATTTAAAATCACAGTTACGTAATGTAGATGTTTAATTAGACATAAAAAAGAAAAAAGGATTAAGGAAATAAATAATTAAAAACATTTCAGTATTAAAACTTAAATAGGGGTTTCGAAAAAATAGCGTTAATGATGATATTCTGTTTTACTTCAGGGTGTAATTAAGTCAATGCAAACAATGAGACATTAATTGTTACACGAAAAGTAGTAAAGAGGCGTACAAAATATATAGCAAATAAATATTTAATATTGATAAATTTCCCTCAAAACATAAGTTTCTTACATAAAATATAAAATAAAAAAAAACATTAAAATTGTAAGGAACAAATATAAAGTCTGAAAATTCATCACGCTTTATAAACAATTTTATATTTTCAATTCAAAAAAACAGGATGTATTATATAAATTTACAAAATATTCTATGGAAGTAAGTTTCCAACTTTGTGATTTTTAAGAGTTTTGATCTATTTGAAATTTTAATAGGAGAAATTTTGTCTAAAAGAGATTCGTTCTATTGGAAATTTCTACATTGAAAAAAGAAAAAAAGTATGTCGTAACTCCAAAATTAAAATATATTTGCCAAAGTTCAAACGTTGTATATAAAAAAGTTAATACACCAAAGATTTATTTGAAGAAGTTTCTGAATTTTTAGTAAAGTAGCAAAAGACCTAACTCATTAATGTGTAAAAGTTTGAATTTTTGATGCGAATAACAAAAAATTAAATACGGTAATCAAGATAATAATGAATTTCTCTTGCATTATATACAGAAAAAACATTTTAAAAACTTTTTCTGCTTCTAAGCATTAAAAAGTTGATTCGCATTAATGATTTTCTGATATTTGCATAAAACCTGCATATTATGAAATTTACTTTAATCAACTTGTTTATATTTATTGGTGTTTAAAATAATACTTGAAAAAATCCCCAACTTTTAAAAAATGAGACAATTTTTATAAATCTACTAGCTGTTACCCGCGGCTTCGCTCACGCAGATTTTGCAAGCAAACCCTATTTACATTCAATATTTCAACAACCATAGAAATTGTTATTTAACACCTACCGCTGAGAATGATGAGAACTGTTTTTAATTTGATAAATTTTCTGGAACGTTCGCAATCGTTCTATAAGCGAACCAATATGCAAAAAGAAATTCGAATTTAAAACGGTTCGAACATTTGGTTAAAAAATCGAAATATATAAAAAAATATTTATAACAATGTCTGAAATGTTATCAATTTAATATCCCTAAGTACTCAATGAAGACTAAACGTAATTAAAAACAAAAACATCACATCTAAAAGAGTACAGTAGAAGCCGTTCTAGATGTTAAGCCTTAATGCACTCCCCCGCGGGGGAATTTCGAAAAATCTCTTCTTAGTGTGCGTTTTCATGACGTACCCTAACTGTATACCAAATTTCACATCTAGGTTCTGGAACTTTCTAGAAAAAAACTGGATCATTCTCATTGAAGCGTCATACATTTTAAAGTCAATCACTTTCAAACCCCATATCTCTCACACCCTTATAGCTATCGAGATGCAACCACCATATTGCATGATGGGAGACTTGGGGCTACTACCACACACAAACACCATTCGTGTGCGATGTGTAGTAGTGTGATGTGCAGAGTGAAATATAGGCACAAACACGTCCATTTATATATATACGAGTATATAGATATAGATTTACTCAAAGTAACAAAGTACAGTCCCTGGCCAAATTATTAAACCCACCTAAGAAATAAGAGTAAATTGACAATTTAGACAAACATTTTGATTTTTTATTTGGAATTTAATTTTGATTATACAACTCAAAAGAGTAGTAAAACATATTTCAATTGTAACAAAAAAGTAACAAACATATAACAAAAAATAAATATAATGTAAAATATTAATATTTTATCGTGCTTCCTTTCGAACTAATTGCAGCTTCGATGCATTTAAGCATACTTTCAATGAAACTCACACACGTGTCTTATGTAAATATTAATTCTTTTCTGATTAATTTTTTCAATAAGATAATTTTGTTTATTATGGTTTTTTATACTTTCTTTAGTTTTTGTTATATGTTTATGTTGCTTTTCTTTCAGTACAGTTGAAGTATGTTTTATTACTTTTTTGAGTTGCATAATAAAATTTAAATTCAAATTAAAAATCAAAATTTTTGTCTAAATTGTCATTTTACTCTTATTTCTTAAGTGGCTCTAATAATTTGGCTAGATACTATATAGTATTTAATTAGAAATTCTTATTCGGCATTCATCAGCAAGATCATGTTTAATTTTAGTTCTAGCGAAATAAAATAGCTGAACACTGAAGTTCTTAAATTCTAAATGCGAATATATGCGGTACATAANTATTTTAAAAATTATTTTCTTTAAAATATTTTAATATTAAAATAATACAATAAATTTAAAGAATACTAAAACTAATAAATAGTAAACTATAATATAATAATTTTAAACTAATTTTTTATTTGTTTCTGTTAATTTTTATAGGTATATTTTTATGCTTGTTCCTCCGGGAATGGTAATCTATTTTAACTACAAATTACTTTATAAAATAAATAAATGAATTTATAGCAAATATTTTTTAATTGTAATTGCGATTTAAATTTTAAAATTTCACATTCAAAAGTGCAAAGAATTTATTTTAAAAAATTAAACTGAATTGTTTAATCTTAAACTTGATTAATTTTAATTACAGTTTAATAAATTTTTAGTATTTTTATTGTTCTATAATTTACAACTATTAATGTCTTCAAGCTATTAACTTTGCAATATTAATAAATAGTAATTATAGCTATTAACGTTTTAAAGATAGAAATAAGTTCATTTCCGGTCAATTTTTTAGATAAAAGAAACAATAATAAAAATTATAACTTTGTAATCATGATTTAAAATATTGTTAAACATCTTTAGGAAATTCTCAATACTATAATAACTTGCACAAAATAATTTAACGTGTCAAATGAGAAACAATGGCCTATTATATCCAACATAACTTGAAAGAAAAACAAAACTTTGGAGAGAAATAAATATAAAAGTAAGAGAAAATATATTACATTATATAAAAGAGATTTTAAATAAATAATTAAATTTTTTAGAAGTTGTAGAATTTTCAATGAAACTATTTTTTATAGTTTATTATAAAAAGAAAAACTTCAATATTTTGTTGAGAAATAATGATTGTATGATTAAATTTTGCTTATATTTTGCAATGTAAACAAATGTATTTTTATTTATAGTTTTAAAATAGATCGTTCTTTAATTAATTATAAAAAAATATTTTTTCAAGATATTTAGAATTATAATAAAACATTACTGATGTGGAGACTAAAACTTACTTCTTGCTTTAAAATACGTTGTTTCAACGATATCTTTAATTTTTTCTTCGTGTTTTGTTCTATAATTTGGAGGAATATAACGAGTTTCAATTACTTCAATTTTGTGAAGAGCAAATAAAGGTCTCGAGGATTCTATAATTTGTTCACCGAAAGGATCTTCGGAAACTATTAATACTATTTTATTCCATTTAAAATTAAGAAGAGTTGATACCACATACATCGACACATGAGAAGTTGGAGATAGAGTTCTTGCTACCAAAGGATATAAGGTTTTGTTAGATATTTTCTCATCAGCACACATCTGAAATAATTAAAACTTTATATTATATTAAAAACTATAAAAATACCCGCTGTTTTTTCGGGTATAATGTAAAAATTATTTTTAACACATTTTTTTATAAACATTATTCATATAAATAATAATTTATTAATATGTATGCTTGAACTGGATCATAAAGTAATTGAAGTTAGATTTTTTAACATTTATTATGATTTATAATCTTCTGTACATTGCGAAAAATTTTAAAGAATAACCTTTATTAAGTGTTTAAAAATAACCTTTATGTAATGTTTCATGCTTGTTATGTGCGTGCTTGTCTTTAATTACTTATATTATACTTTTATCCACTTTGGACGTTCTTGTGAACTAGGACTTGTTATACTGAGGGAAGGAAACACACAATTTCCAATTAAAATATACATTACAATAAATATATTTTAATTGGAAATTGTGTGTTTCTCTTCCCTCAGTATAACAAATCCTAGTTCGCAAGAACGTCCAAAGTGGAAAAAAGTATAATATCGTTATGTAATGTAGAAAATGCTTTTATTTTGGGAGAAATTTCTTTGTCTACTCAGAGTCTAACCTAATCTACGTTAAACTTAATCAAGAGAATCAAATATTTCGTGATTATTCTCTTCGGTTTTAAAATAAAATATGTATTTTAGTTGAATTCTTCACATTTTACTTTCTTTTGTGTAATATTGAAAACTTATACTATCCTAGTGTGAATATAAATAATTATGGCGTCATATACTATACTGTAGAGCATACAAAACTAACTGGTCTCACCCATTTACTCACAGACACTAAATGTTTGAGTGGAAGCATATATTTTTTTTTTTTTTACTGAAAATAGAAATGATACATTCAAGAAGAGATTGAGTACGTTAACAGAAGAATTCTAAATTACAACAAAGAAAAATATCTTACGCGCTTCGAGGTATCAAACTGCAATATTGCATAGAAAATCACTTCTAAACAATTGACTGATTGATTACTTTAAGCGCCATTTTCCTATTTTTACAGATTATCGATTTTAAATTATATTTTCTTTCAACTCAACAATGATTATTCTTCATGAAAATATTGTTTATAATTATTAAGAATATACACGTAACTAATATTGTTTATAGAGAATTATTATAAATCACAACTAAATATGAAGAGCGTTGGGAAGCGGAATGAAACGTCATTCGTGGATGGAGTTACTAATCTATACGATAAAATTGCATTGCGACACTGACTGACTCACTCTCGAATATAAAATTTTTGAGTAGACTTTTTAAAACAGAAGGGACAATGACTAATTTTAGGCTCTATGAGATACCAAAATTCGACCATCGACATCTGTTGAACTTAAGAGCCATCTGCTAATTTTAATTTTACATTTTTTATTCGTTTGTTCCTCATTATTTTAAATGTAAGTACTGTAATATTGTTTTAAAAACTAATATAAATTGCAACACATATTAGAGCGACGAGAAACGTTGGACTGTCGAAACCAATCAGGGTCGGAACACCTAATACTAAAGCGAAATTACAATAACATGAGATATGTGAATAGGAAAGTACAGTACAGTTTGAATATATAAATATATATATGTGTGTGTATATTAAATATTTTTATGTGATCCAATTGAAGCAATGCATCTTAGATTATACATTCAAAGTTTATATTTTTTTAAAGCATAAATAATAATTACATAATAAGTTATAATATAATATAACATATATATATGCTTAATCTCAAAATTAAAAACATAAAATATTGTTATACATAATTATAGTAAATGAATTTGTTAATAATAACATTTAATATATAAATTACATAATCCACCGAAAAATATTGGGCTTAGATCCGAATCCACATCATTTAACAACATATCAAATTTTGTAATAAGTTAAATTATTAGAATGAATTTAGAGTGGATATTCCAAATATAATTTGAACGTACTCGAATGTGGGTTCACTTCTTTTTCTATCTGTCATTTAATTTCAAAAATACTGTTTATTGGGCCTTTCTTAAGTAGTTTAAATTGTTTGAGTCATTTTGTTATCAATTTTCATTAAGGTATAGTACACAGCTCTAATAAATGTTTCAGATGCTATTCTATAAGAAAGTACTGTAACTTTCTTATAGAAAAAGTTTATAATAAATAGATCAGTGGATCTGAATAATTCGCAAAACAAATAACCAATAAGCTACACAGTTATTACAAATTTAAAATTTGAAAAGTATTAAAGTATTAAATGTCTTCTTGATAATAAATGATTAACAATGCTTTTTATTCAAAATTTTGATTTCGATTTTTCTATACACAGATCAAATTTTATGAATTATCCAATAGCCTATCAAAATGACTGAAATTTATTAAGTTGTTCCGTAAGAAAGTAACGAAGAAAAACTTAGATTAGAGGTTTTGTTAGATATTTTCTCATCAGCACACATCTGAAATAATTAAAACTTTATATTATATTAAAAACTATAAAAATACCCGCTGTTTTTTCGGGTATAATGTAAAAATTATTTTTAACACATTTTTTTATAAACATTATTCATATAAATAATAATTTATTAATATGTATGCTTGAACTGGATCATAAAGTAATTGAAGTTAGATTTTTTAACATTTATTATGATTTATAATCTTCTGTACATTGCGAAAAATTTTAAAGAATAACCTTTATTAAGTGTTTAAAAATAACCTTTTTGTAATGTTTCATGCTTGTTATGTGCGTGCTTGTCTTTAATTACTTATATTATACTTTTATCCACTTTGGACGTTCTTGTGAACTAGGACTTGTTATACTGAGGGAAGGAAACACACAATTTCCAATTAAAATATACATTACAATAAATATATTTTAATTGGAAATTGTGTGTTTCTCTTCCCTCAGTATAACAAATCCTAGTTCGCAAGAACGTCCAAAGTGGAAAAAAGTATAATATCGTTATGTAATGTAGAAAATGCTTTTATTTTGGGAGAAATTTCTTTGTCTACTCAGAGTCTAACCTAATCTACGTTAAACTTAATCAAGAGAATCAAATATTTCGTGATTATTCTCTTCGGTTTTAAANTAAATAAATTAAAAATTTACATAAATTACATAAAGAAAAGGTGTATAAATTATATTTTATAGTTCTGTTATGTAAAATATTTTTGAAGCATTTATAAAGTAATTTTTATACATGTAATATGAATAAAGATACATTTAATATTTTTTATAGCTTATTGTATATTCTAATTTATAATAAATAAAATATATAAATTTTTATTTAATAAAAAGTTAATTGAAAATCTTAGATAGGAGTATAGCAAAGTTTATGATAGGCCTATCAAATTTCTTTAAGTAGTTTAGAATAAAAGAATTTTAAAAAAACACAAATGAAATGCGATAAAGGAGGATTTCAAAAAGATATCTTTCTATTGATTCTTTGTCAGAGAAATTAACGAGAATCTAATGTAATTAGCTGTTAATTGACCTTAAGATATAATACTTTAGATGCCTTTAAACATAATTATTTATCTTATTCTGCATTAAATTGATGATTAATTTTTATAATTATAAATTTTCATTAATCAGCAATGAGTTAGAAAACGTGTAATTAGATTTAGATTTATTTACAAAATAACAAAACTTTGAAATGTTTTATTATAATATAAATAAAATAAGCTAAATGAGTTTTTATATTTAATACATTATTTATCCTATAAGGAAACAAACATATGACTATAATAATGTTAAAGATTAGATACATCTTCCTATACATTCGTTTCCTTGGTTGTAGGAATTATTTTTAATTTCATAAAATAAAGAATAAAAATGTAGACGTTAAAGGATTTCCTATACTATTTGTCATTAATTTAACTGCAAAAATATATAACAATTTTAAAATGAATTCATTTAATAAAATTTCTGAATAAATTTTTGATTTTATTTTTATTATTTCATTTAAATAAGCATAATTTGTATGGAAATTCATATAAGTAGACTATTTAGTAAATTATTATGAAGATATCGATACGTAAAATCTTTTCATTAATATTCTTTGTGTAAACTTATAAATATCATTTATTAGATTTTAAGAAAGAGTAATTTAGTAAACATTCTTAAGAGATTCTATAGATTTTTAAAGTTTAAAAATTAATTTTATAATATTAACTAATGAATAAGTTCGTAAAATAACGAGTTTATAAATATGATCAATATTAATATATATTATGTAATTAAAATAAAATCCTTCTTTAAAAAGTTAAGAATCTAAATACGTTATAAATTTTACTATCGAATTAAATATTGTAATATATAATTTATAATCAACATTTTCTTACTTATCATAGAAATATCATCTTATCGAAAAGATGGAGCTGATAATTTCATATTTATTTTTAACTCATAAAAGAAAAAGTATTCATTTTTTTATTATAAAACTAGGGAAAGTTATTTTTAGAATTTAATATAAAAAGAGTACAAAATCGATGGGTAATATCGTAAGCAGAACACGTGGTTTGCTATCTCTTACAAGCATTTTCGAAACACTTAACAGACTACTAAGTCAACAACTAAAACAATGATGGAAACTAAACCTTGTTTCATCTTGTCACGTGGTAAGTATCTTGGCGAAGTGTTTCAGTAACTCATTTTCATTGTTCTAAATCGTATAAACTGATTTTCTGACATATTTAGTAAACTACAGTTTATAATTGTATAAAGTATATATTCTACTTAATATGGTTCGAATGAAATATTTTATAGTGTTATTGCTGTATCTTGTTACTGTAGCAGTATTGTGCATTTAATTCGCCTTCATTAATAAACAGAATTATTTAGTATCAGAAGGGGCGTAACCCATCGATTCATTCAAATTTAACCATCAAATAAAAATTCCAAAAATTCGGCCACAACAAAAACATTCAAAATGCATTATTTTTATTAAAATTTGTTTTCAGGAATTCATTCAAATCTTGAATTTATTCGAGACTTCTTGAGTTATTTTCGAACAATTTTCTACATA